ATAAGAAATTTCCTATCCACTCATGTACAGTACCTATTATTCCGAAGCTCGTGAGCTTCTGCATAAGACCTACGTGTGAAACCTTGTCAAATGCTTTGCTAAAATCTATGAATATCACGTCGACAGACAGACCGTGATCTAGGGCTGCTGTCCAATCCTCCCTCGCAATAAGCAAGTTAGTCAAGCATGAACGCTTGTTACGAAATCCGTGTTGCTCAGGAGCTAACAGATTGTGTAAATCTATGTGGCTTAGCAACCTAACGACTATGCTGGTTAGACTGACAGGCCGGTAGTTAGATACTATCTGTCTCTGACCGTCCTTAAATATAGGACTAACTATAGCGTCCTTCCAATCTCTAGGGAGTTGAGCGAGTGAGAGGGACATGTTGAAGAGTGTCGCAAGCGGTTTTGAAATAATGTCCGCAAGAGATGACAGCAACCGTGGATGTAACCCGTCAGGGCCCGGTATCTTACCAGGTTTGAGGTTAGTTATCAACGGAAGGACAGTTTCCTCAGTCACCTGTACAGATTCAATGGTTGGTATCTCGGTGTGAGTGGGACAAGTATTTGTTACAATAAACGTAGAGAAGACTTCGCTAAAATAGTCTGAAAAAGTCTCAGCTTTTGCTCGATCTGATTCAGCTAGTAATTCTGAATTTTCGTGTAACAGTAACGGGGGAATACCATCACTACGTTTCATTTGCCGTTTAACATACGAAAACAATCGTTTCGGACAAGTACGGCTATCATATACTAACTGTCGTTCGTAAGTGGTACGGGATTTGGCTATGGTTTTCTTACAGATATTACGGTATTTTTGGTACTCACGCTTAAATGGTGCATGACCTGTCAACAAGAATAAGTCCCAGAAATGTTTCCTACGCTTTAACAGCTTCCGGGTTTCCTTATTAATCCATGGAGGGCAATGTGATAGCTTACGTGCTGACCATGGGATAAACGGCGACGTTACGGACTCGAATGTAGCCTTAAACTTATTCCATTCATCTTCGATCAATCCATCCGCGTCGACCGACCAATCAGTCGAGATAGCACAGTTTCTGATTTCCGGAATATTAGCTCGCCAGATATTGGGACGGGGTGGAGCAGATACGAATTGTATACCATGTGTCCTAAACTTAAAGTGAATTACAACGTGATCACTGTTCACTAGTGGGGGAAGGTGCTGGATATCAAAGACATCCTCACAGTGGTGGGTGAGGGCGAGGTCCAGCAGTGACGGATCATGATGCAAATCAATATGTGTCGGTTTTGTGATACATTGTACAAGTGCACACTGAATAACGGTAGATAAAAGGTCGCTATCGAAACCACTACCTGGAGCTGTAAGCTCTATCCAGTTGATATGCGGTGCGTTGAAGTCCCCAATGATGAGACAACATTCTGCCATACTCCAAGAACAGATGTGTCTTAGGATAAAGTCGTCAGCAAGACAAGACGGACTACGGTATATTCCCCCTATAGTCACTAACCCATTTCTAGATTTAATCTTACAACATGCAACCTCACATGTGCCACTGATATGAGCCTCCGATATGGTTGATTGTATACGAAAGTGATCCCTAACGTATAATATTATACCTCCCCCTTTGCGACTTGAAACTCTATCACTTCTGATACAGATATAACCAGCAATGAAAGGAGAACAGTCTATATCAACGGTGAACCAAGTTTCTGTAACAACGATTATATCGGGACATAATTCTTGCACCATCAGACTTAGCTCGGACGTTTTATTTCTAAGACTACGAGCGTTCGTGTAGCACACACTTAAGGTGTTTTGGAAATCAATCGTTCTACCCATACAGGCCTCGGAAGCATTGGCTTCCTGGACCCTTAATGGTAAGGTTATTTTCGCCATTTAATTTGCGAGTCCTCAACTCCGTAAGAGCATTCTTCCACTTGATTCGATCCTCAAGCGGCCAATCTGGTCGAATACGGATATTTGAGGCACGAGTTTTTAGTGCGCTTTTCAATAATATGTCTCTTTCTTCGAAACTCCCGAGAACCAGCTTCAGGATTCTTCTTGGTTGGGTCTCGCCTCCAACCCATTTACCAAGTCGTATTACTTTTGTAATATGTACCCCTGAAACCTCTTCAGGTAGTACATTTCTTACCACAGACTCCACTAACTGCAGGTCATGTGCATGTCTTCTAGCAGGGTCGTTGTCTTTCGACTCCTCTAGATTCCAAACAACGAAGCTTTACTGTGGGACATTTTCGGATTGGTCTGAGAGTCCAGACGTCAGGTCTGGATTGGACTGACGCGTGCTGGTGACTGACAGTTATATGGAAGTCGAAAGCTAAAACTGCGTGATCACCTTTACCTAGGGGTGGCATACAATGGAGGTTCGCAACGTCATCCTCATAGTGTGTCAGTATAAGATCTAGTAAGGATGATTCAGAGTCCGGGTCGTAACTAGTCGCTTCTTTCACATGTTGTACTAGAGCACATGTGATAACCACATCAACTAGTTCCTGCTGGGACGAATTTTCTGACGATTCAGTTCGCAGTTTTACCCCGTCTACCATTGGTGCATTAAAGTTTCCTAGGATTAGACATCGACCACTTTGGGACCAAGTATTGAGACTGCTTAACAGGATCTAATTTACCTCACAGCTTGGACTGCGATAGACTAAACCAATCAGCAGCTCTTGTCCCTTGCATTTCAAGTGGCAACTAACTAATTCACACGTCCCACTCTCATGGGATACACTATCGATAATGGCAAATGGGATAGCATTCCTAATGAATAGAGCTACTCCCCCTCCTTTGCGCTTTTGTGTTCTGTCGGCCCTTACTAAGGTAAAGCCCTCGAAATCAAGTTCTACACTATCTATAGCCTGTGTCAGCCAGGTTTCTGTTACTGCAATTATATCTGGCTTTGTAGAATCAATCTGTACACCTAATTCCGATCGCTTATTAAGTAAGCTTCGTGCATTGGTGTAACAGATCCGAAGCCTGTTTAAGTGCCTTCGTGCTTCACCCAGAGTGGCTTCGGCATCATTCTCTGTCGAAGTCTTACAACCCGAAAATTTACAATTTTCAGGTCCTTTCGCCAGCGTCTAACCTATGTTGTAGTTCTTTCTCGGCTTCCCGTCTTTTTACACGGTCTGCCAACGGTAGGTCCTTTCGGATAAAGACTCCTGAACCCTTTAATTTGTGTCCATTTTGTAAAATTTGGTCACGTTCGTTCGAAGAGCCGAATACTACTTTAAGCAGTCTGGAATGATTTGATTTCGAGTCCGTTAGACTCCCTAGTCTGTACACCTTTAGCAAGGTGACCCCGGTCATATTTTGAGGCATGAGTTGATTAAGCAGCTGCCTAATCAGCACAATGTCATGCTCAAAACGAGCTTTAGGTTCAGAGCTCTCACTCCCCTTGATTCTACGAAAAATAGCTAATCTGTCGATATGATCAGCTTTCGATTTTACGACTACTTTCGCGGGGGAAGGATTACCTTTTATATCGCTACTTTTTTTCTTCCTTAACCTGTACCCACTCGTCAACGGTGCTGGGAGAAGCAACAACAGTTGCGTCAAACCTAGTGTTGGATTCTGGAGGGTTGTCGACGACCTGAGAGGTCAGGTTATGTTTACCGCTTGAAACCGATCAAGCCTAGCGATTGCAGCTTCTAGACGTTTCCTGCTGGATGCCATTTAGAAGACGGGGAACAAAAGAACCTTTTTTATTGAGTTTTTGTTTAAGACAGACCTCTTTGGAGACTGTTTTTCCTTCTATGATCGGTGTGAGTCACCTATTTTCGACTCTTTCAAAAAAAAGTTGGATAAACTGAGAGACCACCATTGCCAGCATCAACACAGGCCATCAAACCTCCTGTCCTTCCCAAACTGAAACTGAAACTGAATTGAGTGTCAGTGCCTGTAGCCAACAGCGGTGCTTTTGCTTTCAAGGTCTGATTTGTCGTGCTACGTTGTAGGTTTGTGGGTATTTTATCAAAAATGAGCTATTAACCCATCCGTTATTTATTGATCGATCTTCCCCAGATTCTCAATTTGTTCTTTTACCTAGATAAATTGATCCTGGTAGCCTTAACTTAATATATTAACCCTGATGTTTAGGTCCTAATGTCCTAAACCTATCTTATAACACAGTATTGTATGTTTCTTGACACATTTACATTGTCATTTTACTCTCTCTCACACACACTTACTAGCGTTTAATCGTGAGCCGCTTCATTTCTCAGGAAATTTATTACGCCTACTTTACACAAACTACTCATTTTGCGACCAACTGTAAATTCCTGCTTCCCTTATTGAGTAGAAGTATAATATACTGGTGTCTTTAAGGGACCTGTTGGCTAAACGGAAAACACTACCTCGTTATAAATCAAACAAAAATGCAAAGTAATTAAATAATATTCGGATAACAGTTTTGATACGTATAACTAACTCTCACATGGAAAATTATCCTTTGTATTCGAGGAAAAAGGTGATGCTTACGTATATTCATACATATTAGGAGACGGGCTTGTGTTACGAGTTTAGGTTATCACCCATGTTATCTAGATCCATTAAGCACTCTTGATCACGTAATAAAACGGATCAAGTTTAACTAACAATTTGCCTCAGTGGCAGGTCTGTTATATAATACAGCTTGAATACCATCGATCTCTGGCGGTAAGGAACCAGGAAGTACGGAGCTGACACGAAAACTATCCACGAAAAGGTCGTGTGTGACCTAAAGCAGTTGTCCCTTGGGCACTGCGATCACGCTCTCAGGTCACCAAGACCACCTCTAACTCAATTTCCTTCTTATGTACCACTAGAAGAGCCCTTCCACGGTTTGGGCATCCGGAAAGTGACAACAGCCCTCATACCTCTAACAGCACTGTAGTGTCGATAGCCCTCACACTTGAACTATGGCCCAAAGCTAAGTACACGAATATCTGTACCTAGTAAATGTTTTAGAAAATTTGAAAGTGCAATTTTATCCCTAAAATTCCTATTTTTTTTTCAGGAGTATGACAAAGTCAAAGAAGAGGTAAGTCAAGAATAATTCTAAATATCTAAAGATTACAAGTGTTAGTCAGTCAGTCAGATACAACGTAGGACCAGGCACATATATGCATCGATCCAAGTTGCCATACCTCATTAACACAACAAGATGAACACCGGATTCATAAAAGTAGTTAATTCAGAGGTGGTAATATATAAAGGAAAGATTGCAATAAGGATACAGTATAGGAAGAAAGAATTAGTTCGTAGAATGAAAGATATGAAGCAATTTCAATCTCTTAGTTTAAGGGAAGACAGAAAGTGTATACACCGACGCCATTGTGATCGATTGTGAGCCATGTCACCAAGAGTCTCCAACCATCGGTTACGAAAGTCACGCGGACCCCAACCAAGTAGTATGCATCTACCAACATGGCTCAGACTAGAAGTTAATGACTTCAAGCACTGATGCCACGTTTTCGTTTGGCCACCCCTAACTTTCTTCCAACCATCTCGAACATCGGTTAGCATTGCACGTCGTGGTAATCGGTGTTCAGGCATACGTAACACGTGGCCCAACCATCTCAGTCGATGAAGATTCATAACCTCATCAACTGATTTACCATCATTCCCTAATACCCTGCGTCTAACCTCCCTATTACTAACCCGGTGATCCCAGCAGACGCCAGCAATATTTCTGAGGCATCTGTGGTCAAATACTAGTAGCTTACGGGTGTCTTCTACTCTTAAAGGCCATGTTTCGCTGCCGTAAAGTAAAACAAAACGGACTGCCGCGCAGGATACTCGTCCTTTTATTGATAGACGGATATCTCGCCTTCGTCATAGGTGACGTAAGTTGGCAAAAGCCAAACGAGCTTTTCGAATCCGTGCTGAGATTTCGTCCGATACCAACCCATTAGGGCTGATCAGACTTCCAAGGTAAGTGAAGTTGTCAACGCGTTCGACTACTTCACTCCCTATCTTTAGTTCAGGTGTTGACGCAGACCAGTCCTGAAGGAACAGCTTGCATTTAGAGGGAGAGAAGCGCATTCCAAACATTCTGGCAAGTGACTCATTTATGAATAAAAATGCTCCTCTTTCGATGATTCCATTTGGTAAAATTCTTACTGCTCTGTATAATTAAATGAAATAACTATTGAACAAATATTGAGTGTTAATGTACATGAGTGTAATAAGTAGAACTTTCAGAATACGGTTCTTAATGGTTGAAATAGATTATTAGTAGATTGGTCAACTGTTGATTCAAGCCACATTAGTGGATACAGACTATCTGGTTAGGGTTTGTGCGATAATCGTGACCAGTAGTTCGTGGTTTTGGCTAAAATGACTCGAAATTGTTCACAATGGCGCATATACATCCTTTTCCGTATCATCCTCTCGTTCACACATACCTTTACACCCTATCTTTTTGAACTGTATTCCCCAATGTTTAGTCTTTCTTACTATGATTGCCACTATATTATTTCGATCTTTTTTCTAACTCAGCTTGTTATATTCGCCTCATCATAATAATGTAGTACAGCAACTTGTACCATCGCACTTGTGTGTTAGCTTCTTTATTGATGACAGACTTACTTTACTTTTTACTTATGCCTGTTATCCCTCTTAGGGAAGCACAGGTCGCCCACCAGCATGTCCTAGTTTTTGTTTTTGGCAAGGTTGTTTTCTACGGGATGGGGGATGCTGAACCCATGCCCAACCCTCCTCCTTTGCTCAAGCTTGAGACCGCAGTAACCTTAGAAGAGCTACAAGAGGAGTTATTATTATTGTAACACTGACTTATTTTCCACCTATAAATCATAGTTTAAGCCTACACTTCTATCACTAACAAGTAAGTTTTTAGACTATTATAAAACATGTTATTATAAAATTTCTATTTTTATAAATAAAATTATATTAAATCGAACTTAAATTTGTAGAAAGTTGAATTACACTGAAATACGTAAACAACACTTACTTGAAGATAATGAAAAAGAAGAGAAAATTCTCAAAAAATTATCAAAGAAGTTGAAAATGGATCGTAATTCTACAAAAACTAAGCAGAAAAAAGAACAAACTCCACTATGGTTAACACAATGTGGATTTGATTGTACTGTTTATTTTTCTCTTTTCAATGTTAAATTTAATTTTATTTATATTTTAGACATACTAAATTTCGAGAAACAGATAAATTTAGAAAAGGATAATACTGATAGTAATAACACTGTTCTATGTACTACTGTTGGAGTATCTTCAAAGAAAAGTACTAGTGTTAAACTTAAATGATATCAATTTAAAAAAACCTATTGTAGAGAGTAAAAAACTTGATTTATATGGTCAAAATACAAATAGTAGTAATGATAGTAGATCAATTACTGATCATGATGATCAACATTCAGACGGTAAGTTTTATGTTAATTTTCTATTTTTTTTTATTGAGATCATGCACCGATTGATGTTAGACCACCATTGACAATCTGGAAGCACTGGACGGCCGTTTCGTCCTATCGTGCGACTCCCCAGTAGTGCGATTCTACGACCCCACTCGCGGTATTCTGACCGACGGCCCTCAGTCTCTCGCGCGAACGCTTAACCTCTAGACCTTTGAGTCGTTATCCATAGGTGTTAATGTCTAACCTCAACCAATCCACAAAATTGCGTGACCATCTTCCATTGTACTGAGGTAGATACCTGAATCCACCTGACATGGATTAGCTTCACGGGTCACGGCTAGGGCTCTTGGTTCGGATCCTGCGAATGGGATCGCAGATGAGCACTACTGAGGAGTCCCATAATAGAACGAAACGGCCGTCCAGTGCTTCCAGGTTTTCAATAGTGGTCCAACATCAATCGATTCATGATCTCAATCAAAAACTTAATAATTTCCACAACCCTATACTGATAATTTTCTAATTGTATTTTTTGTTGTTGTTGTTGTATAGTTGATTCATTGTTAAATGAACCGATCCAGTGTACAGATCTATCTGTTAATGAAAAATTAAATGAAGTTAATATTTCAATGTTAAATGATAATCATGATTTCAATGAAACTCTATGCAAATCAATACGTAGTTCATTAAATCGTTTATCTGAATCACAAATGTCAAAAATTATTACAGAACTTTGTGATTTATTTAATAAATATCCTCGTGCATCTGTTCGATCACATTTAATTGAAGAAATATGCAATTTAATAGAAGTATGCTTCAATATTTCTCTTTTTTTAAAAATTATTCTTTTAGTGTACACAAATTAATCGTCATACTAAAATTGGTTGGTTACATCAAGAATTAGCTATATGTATTACTTGTATTCAAATTATGTTACATCATTTATTTCAATCAATACCTTTAATTGGTTATTTAATTGAATCAATTATTTTTCGATTATTTCCTATAAATAATAACAATAATGAAATACAATTATCATCAAATGGAATTTGTACATATTCTATATTTTTAGCTTATTTATATCGTTTTGGAGTAAGTAATTGATTGATTATTAAATTTTATAATCATTTTGATTTAGTAGTCTGTCTTATATAATAATAATTATTATTAACATGAGGTGAAGTAATAAAGGAAACCATCGTAAACTAATGAACATCACCAGGTAGCTAATTGTTTCATTTTATTTTGTGGTTCATTGATATGGTTTATCTTGCTTGAACACCGATTACCACGAAGTCCAGTGCTAACCGGTATTGGATATGGTTGGAAGAAAATTAGAGGCGGCCAAACCAAAACGTGGCATCAGTGCTTAAAGTCATTAACTTCTAGTCTGAGCCATGTTGGTAGATGCATACTACTTGGTTGGGATCCGCATGACTATCGTAACTAATGGTTGGAGACTCTTGGTGACATGGCTTAGAATTGATCACAATGGCGTCGGTGTATACACTTTCTGTCTTCCCTTAAACTAAGAGATTGAAATTGCTTCATATCTTTCATTCTACGAACTAATTCTTTCTTCCTATACTGTATCCTTATTGCAATCTTTCCTTTATATATTACCACCTCTGAATTAACTACTTTTATGAATCCGGTGTCCATCTTGTTGTGTTAATGAGGTATGGCAACTTGGATCGATGCATATATGTGCCTGGTCCTACGTTGTACCTGACTGACTGATATGGCTTATCTACAACAACTTTATTGCAAGCATATCGGCCAATGTTTACGCATTGCTAAGGTGTCCAAAACTATGATAAAATAGTTAGGTAGTTCATTGTTCTCAGTTTTTTTTATCACTCATGGTTTTGTGTCCCTATTAATGTATAACGTAATGATATCGCCAATTACAGAGCAGTAATTTATCGATCGAACCAATAATGCATAAACACGTACGAGCAGTTTAGAGTCCTTATAGGTTCTGTTTTCTATTAAAGCAAGAATACCAATCTCAACCTCTGTGATATGAATCATGTATTTCAAGCATACCGGGTTTATATACAAACCAAACAGACCACATCGTACCATAAAATGGGAAACACCATTTGTACAAGATTTGGCCAAATGTGACTGTGAATGTGGGAGATAGTAATTAATAAACTGGGCATAACTCAAGAATTGTAAATCGCATAATAGTAAAAGCCTATAGGTCAAAATAAGGCTTACAATAAGAGGAATACGAATGTGCATAGTTTAGCTACTTAACAATTATATGATAAAAAATATACGTATAATATTAGTCCAGAAATAGATTCCAACAGTTACGATTCATTATTCTCATTGGGATATCACATTTTTCAATAAGCTTTTCATCTAATAACAGTTTTAAACAATTTTCACAAACTTTAACTCATTTTCGTTTGTCATTGATATTTTCAGGTGATCTCAGGTACTCTTATTTTAGATATTTTGAAGGCGTATATACGTGATTGCGACATCGGAAAAGTGAAAGCTGCTCATTTTATTACAATCGGTAAGTTGTAATTTTAGAAAATTCTCATACATTGATTTATGCAGTTATCGGTCACCATAATATAGAGCTTATTCAGTCTTAATCTGTTAGATAGCATGGTTAATTTGCAAAAGACTGATGTAAACCGTAGTCTCGTATACAAAACTCTACATGCTTTCCAAATACTAATGGTATTTATTAGATGTGTTTGTGTTTTTATAAAGAATCATTAAAACAAGTAATCCGTTAAGAGATCAAGGATAAAGTATTTATTTATCACTATTTGGAGCAACTAACTTTCAATCATAGTATCTCGAGTTTAAGCCCAAGCTCATCTGCCTCGGTTTGGGCAGGATTGTATTACCACTTAATCTCACTCACTGTATATAAAAATGCCAAATATACCTACCTGTATTTGGTACATGGTTCAAGGATTAAGGGTTAGTCTTGCTCAAAGACCTATCTTCTCTTTGCATTCAGCATGATGTGTTGTATATCATTTAAAGTGTATATACAAAGGATTTTCTCTGCTCGTTGAATATCAATTGGCACATTAATAATCATATTCTGTTTAATTGAATAAGTATAATTGTTAGTCTAGAACCCAACAAAAAATGCTTTCTGTGTAAAACCATCAAGTCATCTAATCATTTAAAATAATAGCCAACATTGTGAACTGATGAAACAAAATAACAAAACTAAGTTGAAGCCGTTTTATGTTAATCTTACTATGTTAGGTCATCGAAGGTATTTGAAAAAAACACCTATAAACCTAAGTTTCATACTATTTAACACAAACCAACAAAGCGTATCTTGAGAAAATTAATATTCCACATGTCCAGAATGATCCATTGATAACGTCTCGTTGTGACACTAAGTGGAACAGGTTCAAATCCCATGGGAACCATCAGTTTCCTCAAGATTGTAGATACACTTTACTGATGAAGTTCAACTGACACAAAACCTAGTTCCAGGATTTTCCACTGATTACTTTCAACCATCTAACGTTCCAATGTATTGCAATTATCATCGAGTCACTTAGACTAGTGGTTATATAATTTGATCAATAGTATTCAATTACTATATTAGCCAAATAACCATAACACTGTTTACTACTCACTGATTAATCAATGTAAATATGCTTGTAACAACCTTTTGTACACTTGATTATAATATTTCTATGTATTATGATTATTTTATTTTTAGCGGTTGGTGTTAATCTACGAAAATCTAATTTGAATGTATGTCAAGAAATTATTCAACAAGCAAATTTTGAACTTGAAAAGCATAAATTACAAAACTTTGAATAGCGTACGTCATGTAGTAATTCCCTCTTTCTCTCGTATATTTTATCCGAAATCAGAAATCATATAATCTCCCTTGTTTTTTCTCTCATCTTATCCAGATTTGAATTGGAGGGACTGATTCAACGTCTTTCAGAGAAACGTTCTATGGAGGAGTGTGTTACACGATCATTACATTTACAGAAACTTATAAGGGTATGGACTAAAGTAACTCACATGTTCGTCTTTGTGTGTGTGTGTGTGTATTTCATGTATATTTCAAATCATTTACCTAATTATTCTCATTATATGAATTAATTGTAGAAACAAATAGATCAATGGTGAAATCCTATGCATATTCGTTGCTTAAGGATTAAGATTTGAATCCCGTATTCATAAACATTCTAGACAAAACAGATAAATCTTTAACATCTCAACGTCAAATTAAGTGTAGACCAAAACGGATAGTGTTTCACTAGATCTTATACTAAAATAGTGAAACAGAATAGAGAATGTAAAAACTTATACTTGATTTTATATAACGATCGTTTCCTCGTTTACGCGAATATGACACTAATTTGCCTCGGATGAATATATTTAGTAGATGCCATCCTAGTGTCTATCTCACGGAACATCAACACAATCCAGATCAAGAACACGTGACTAGTCTGACTAGAACGTAAGTATATTTCCACACCAAAAAAAACCCCGACAACAATCACAGTAATAATAAGGGTAAGAGAATATATAACTCATCTACTACCTGTCAGACTATTTGCAATTCTGGCTAAGTAAACAACCAATCATCGTTGTTAAGATGCGATAAAGTTAACGTTGAAGTAGAATAGATGGAATTCAGTGGAGAACATTTTCTTTTCAATGATTTCATTTATTTAAGCTGTACAATCGTAATTTATTTTCTGAAAATAGTAATCTACGTTAAAATAGAATAATGTTGGATCACTAAAACTTGGAGTGGTATTGTGTCGTAGATTCTTATGAAAATCATATTTTGAGAGGAAAGTTATGTAACAACCGAATGGCTAATGATATATGCTAATGTGCAGATAACTGCCCACTTCATAGATATTAGAAACGGAACAATTAAAAGGTTTAATAATGAATAATAAATATTTGTAAAAGATAATTTGAAAAAATGGGACCCTCATAAAGAGGGTCTTTTTAGCTGCTACCTATTCTTTTTCATATTGTCGTTTTAACCTCGGATTTTCCTCGATGAATCTAGATGGATGTCCAATGGAGTCCAATCAGTAACGGGTGGATAAAGCATTCCACTTCAGATATTGGATGAATGATTGCGCAAGATCATGGATCGGTGGAAGTTAGACATTAACACTGTTGGATGCCGTTTCAATGGTCTAGAGTTTAAGCGTTCGCATGCGAGACCGAATGTCCTGGTTCGAATCCCGCGTGCGGAATCGTGAACGCGTACTGTTGATGAGTTGTATACTACGACGAAACGGCCGTTCAGTGCTGCCAGGTTTCAATGGTGGTCTAACTTACATCGACTTATGAATTCGACCATTAAAATTAATTATCCATTCAGTTTTGAAATTTAGTCAGTAAAAAATCTATCTGAAGTTATGACTGTGTGAACACGACTATGATTAAAAATCCTATTTTTCCGTGTGTTATGCACATATATATTGTTATGTTCTTATGCCACGTTAATTATCACGTGATAAGATTGTCAATTAGAACACCGACTTATACGACCTTGGCACTATATCAAACTAGTGACGCGTTAAGCAGTACGGACAACCTAAAGTCAACTCTGAGTTCTTAATTGTTCTTGTCACCTAGCCCTGTCGATTTGAGTCCAGAACACAATTTCAACTTCCGTTGTATAAATCATGTATTTCAAACGTACGCAATTTGTATACAAGCAAATCAGACCGCATCACAGCATAAGATAAGAAAAATGACAGTTAGATAAGATCAAGTCGAAAGTAGCTGTGAGTATGGCATACTGTAACTAACAAATTTGAAATAACTTCAGAATAGTAAATCGTATAATAATAGTCCATATGTCAAATGGAAGCATGAAACAAAAGGAATATGAATATACATATAATATAATTACTTAATTGTTATCCAATAAGAATACATGTAATAATAGTCCGTAAATAATTCCTACCACTTACCATTCATTTATTCTTCATAAGGATATAACATATACATAATTCAGACGCCAAGTTTTTTTATTGAGATCATGAACCGATTGATGTTGGACCGCCACTGAAAATGTGAAGGCACTGGGCGGCCGTTTCGTTCTATCGTGTGACTCCCCAGTAGTGCGAATCTATAACCCCACTCGCGGGATTCGAACCGACGGCCCTCAGTCTCTCGCGAACGCTTAGCCTCTAGACCTTTGAGTCGGTATCCATCGGTGTTAATGTCTAACCTCAACCAATCCACAAAATTTTGTGACCATCTTCCATTGTACTGAGGTAGATACCTGAATCCACCTGACACGGATTGGCTCCGTCAGTCACGGATCCACACTAGAACTTCGAGAATTCCCTCACAAAGCTAATCACTAGTGAGCACTACTGAGGAGTCCCATAATAGAACGAAACGGTCGTCCAGTGCTTCCAGGTTTTCAATGGTGGTCTAACATTGATTGGTTCATAATCTCAATCAAAAACTTAATAATCTCCACAACCCTATACTGACAAGTTTTTTTTCTTGATAGTCAGGTTCTGGGTTAAGAATATTGTGGGTATAGTGTTTGAACAAAGTTGAAGCGTTCACTATTCTCCTTTATTCATTTTGTTTGTTATTGCATTTCTTTTTCAAAACCACAGTGAAAAGAAATTATATATCAATTTTTATATCTTTACATTTCATAGGATTGTCTGTTACTGATGATATGTGTTTAACTGTTGGATTAGAAGATTTACTAAATGCTTCATCTACTGGTCGTTGGTGGCTAATTGGTTCAGCAGTAAATCGATTAGTGAATGATATTTCATCTGTAAAATCCAAAGATGATGAAAAATCTAAACTATCTTTAAATCCTGAAGTATGAGTGTTAAGTTTTTGCTGATTTTTATCTTTATATTTACCAATCAATAAGGTTAATATTATCTTGGTTTTTCGATGATAGTATATGTTGGGAAATGCAATAATTCCTGAAATCTGTACAAGTAATAGGCCAAAACACTTTGATTTTTTTAAATTTTCAATTGCTTATGTGATCTAGTACCTTTGATAGGTTATTCTCAAAGATATTTCAAATTATTTTGAAGAACTATTCGTATATTTCATACCTATAGAAGAGGAGACAAAACTTCTGTTTTCTGTTTTTTCCTCGATGTTTAGGGTTGGATTAAAACATTTTGTTATAACTTGTGGCCTGAGTGCCCTGATAACGTATAACGTGATGATACCTCCAATTAGAAAACAGTAATTTATCGATCGAGCCAATGACACATAAACACAAGTATGAGTAGTCTAGAGTCTTTATCGGTCCTTCTTCCTGCTTAGACCTGCTTGCCTGTTAAATCCAGAACACCAATCTCAACCTCTGTGATATGAATCATGTATTTCAAGCATACCGGGTTTATATACAAACCAAACAGACCACATCGTACCATAAAATAGGAAACTCCATTTGTACAAGATTTGGCCAAATGTGACTGTGAATGTGGGAGACTGTCATTAATAAACTGGGCATAACTCAAGAATGGTGAATCGTATAATAATAGTCTATAGGTCAAATGGAAGTTTATAATAAGAGGGACATGAATATGAATAGTCTAGTTATTGAACAGTTATACGATAAAAATATACGCATATTATTGGTCCATAAACGGATCCCAAAAGTTACCATTCATAAGTCTTATCGGGATATAGCACATTTACTAAGGTGTTAGTACATGAATCTGTTATCTTCAATTTCATTTACTTCTTCATTTAACATTGTCTTGTTAAATCAGTAATCAAGATTTACAATGGATGTAAGGTCACTCATTTATCAAGTACAGCTTTATGTACTCACCTTTGGACTGGATTATTCGTTTGAAGTCTAGTGATACTACATACTTACTTACTTACGCCTGTTACTCCTCGTGAAGGAGCATAGGCCACTCACCAGCATTCTCCATCCAACCCTGTCCTGGGCAATCCTTTCTAGCTCCGTCCAGTTGTAATTCATCCTTTTCATATCTGCTTCTATAATCCGACGCAATGTGTTCTTTGGCCTTCCTCTTTTTCGCTTCCCTTCAGGGTTCCAAGTTAGGGCTTGCCTCGTGATGCAGTTTGACGATTTGCGTAATGTATGTCCTATCCATTTCCATCGTCTTTTCCTAATTTCTTCTTCAGCTGGAAGTTGGTTTGTTCTCTCCCACAGAAGGCTATTGCTGATGGTATCCGGCCAGTGGATGTTGAGTATCTTGCGTAGGCAGCTATTTATAAATACTTGTACTTTCTTGATTGTGGTTGTTGTAGTTCTCCAAGTTTCAGCTCCATACAGTAGAACTGCCTTGACGTTCGTATTGAAGATTCTCACTTTGATATTGGTTGAAAGTTGTTTTGAGTTCCATATGTTCTTCAATTGTAGGAATGCGACCCTTGCTTTGCCGATCCTCGCCTTTACGTCTGCATCTGAACCTCCTTGTTCATCGATGATGCTTCCTAGGTATGTGAAGGACTCTACATCTTCCAGAGTTTCGCCATCAAGAGTGATTGGATTGCTGTTCTCCGCCTTGAATTTGAGGACCTTGGTTTTCCCTTTGTGTATGCTGAGGCCTACTGATGCAGAGACTGCTGCTACACTGGCTGTCTTCATCTGCATCTGTTCGTGTGTACGTGATAGGAGGGCTAGGTCGTCTGCGAAGTCCAAATCGTCTAATTGATTCTGAGTTGTCCATTGTATTCCGTGTTTTCCTTCAGATGTTGAGGTCTTCATAATCCAGTCGACCACCAGAAGAAAGAGGAAGGGAGAGAGTAAACAGCCTTGTCTGACTCCAGTCCTTACTTGGAATGCATCTGTCAGCTGTCCTCCATGCACTACTTTGCACTGTAGTCCGTCGTATGAGTTCCGGATAATGTTGACAATCTTCTCAGGAACTCCGTAGTGTCGAAGAAGTTTCCATAATGTCCTCCTATCTACACTGTCGAATGCCTTTTCATAATCAATGAAGTTGATGTATAGTGATGAGTTCCACTCAACTGATTGTTCGACGATGATCCGTAGTGTTGCAATTTGGTCTGTGCACGACCGATCCTTACGGAATCCAGCTTGTTGATCTCGAAGTTGGGCGTCTACTGCATCCTTCATCCGGTTCAGCAACACTCTGTTGAAGACTTTCCCTGGTATTGACAGTAGTGTAATGCCTCTGTAGTTTTCACATTTGCTCAGATCTCCTTTCTTTGGAATCTTGACGAGGTGTCCTTCTTTCCAGTCCATCGGCACTTGTTCCTCCTCCCAAATCTTTTTGAATAGAAGGTAAGCATGCTTGTGGTTGCTTCGATGTCTGATTTCAGTGCTTCAGCTGGTATGTTGTCGGGTCCTGCTGCTTTCCCGTTCTTGATTTGTCTGACGGCCATTCTAATTTCTTCCGTCGTTGGTGGGTTGACATCTATAGGAAGATCTATGTGTGCTGCTTCGATGTCCGGTGGATTCATTGGAGCCGGCCTATTCAGGAGTTCCTCGAAGTATTCCACCCATCTGTTACGCTGTTGTTGAATTTCGGTGATTGGCTTGCCTTCTTTGTCTTTGACCGGCCTCTCTGGTTTACTGTATTTCCCTGCTAGTTTCTTCGTTGTATCGTAAAGCTGTTTCATATTTCCTTCTCTAGCAGCTTTTTCTGCCGTCGTTGCTAGTTCTTCCACGTATTTCTTCTTGTCGGCTCTAATGCTCCTCTTCACTTGTTTGTTTGCTTCTATGTATTCAGCTTGTGCTTGGACTTTCTCTGCTCGTGTTCGGCTGTTGTTAATTGCTGCCTTCTTGTTCTTCCTTTCTTTGATCTTGTCCAGTGTTTCTATAGAGATCCATTCCTTATGATGGTGTTTCTTTAGGCCCAGAACCTCTTGACACGTTGAAGTTAATGCTTCCTTGATGCCTTTCCAGTTGTCCTCCATACTAGTTTCTTCTTCTTTCAGTAGATCTTGTAAGGCTTGGAACCTGTTGTTGAGAGCTATCTTGAATTCATTGAGTTTGTCAGTATCTCGAAGGAAGGCTGTATTGAACCTTTGTAGTGCTGTTTGTCCACTTGTCCAGTTCTTTTTAGCTTCAGTTTTAAATTGGCTACAACTAGGTGGTGATCTGAAGCTACGTCAGCACCTCTCCTGGTTCTCACATCTTCCATTGTCCTTCGGAATTTTTTGTTGATGCAAATATGATCTATTTGGTTCTCTGTAGTGTGGTCCGGTGAGATCCATGTAGCCTTGTGTATACGCTTGTGTGGAAATATTGTGCCTCCTATGACCAATTTGTTGAATGCACACAAATTTGCAAATCTTTCTCCATTTTCGTTTCTTTCTCCCAGTCCATGTCGTCCCATAATATCTTCATATCCGGTGTTGTCTATTCCGACTTTGGCATTTAGATCTCCCATCAGAATAGTTAGGTCCTTTCTTCGGCATTTCTCAATGATTGACTGCAGCCGCTCGTAGAACTGATCTTTAATGTCGTCGTTGCTATCATTGGTGGGTGCATAACATTGGATAATATTCATTAAGATCCCCTCCTTCTTTGTTTTGAATGATGCTTTGATGATTCTGGATCCGTGAGACTCCCATCCTACAAGTGCATTTCGTGCTACTTTGGACAGCATAAGAGCGACTCCCTGAGTGTGTGGAGCATTGTCCTCCTCGTGACCGGAGTATAGCAGCATCTCTCCCGTAGCTAGCCTTTTCTGTCCAGCTTGGGTCCAGTGGGTTTCGCTGATTCCCAGTACTGCTAAGTTGTATCTCCTCATTTCCATTGCTATTTGACTGGTCTTCCCGGTTTCCCACATTGTTCGAACGTTCCATGTACCTATAAAAATTTTTGCTCTGGTTGTTAGAAGGGGCATCGGCCTCGTGGCTTCCGAAGGAACTCGGCTTTCACCATGAAGCGTCATAATTCTTCTAACTGAAGACCTTCTAACTCCCAGGGCAGAGTTTAAATGGTTTGGATTATTTTTTCTGGTAAGCGTTTTTTTAGCGAGTTAGTTTTCTACGGGATGGGGACGCTAACCCCATGCCCAACCCTCCTCCTTTACCCGGGCTTGGGACCGGCAGTAACCCTATTAGAGCTACAGGCGGAGTTAGTGATACTACATAGTTGTACAAAAAAGTAAATAAAACGTGATCTGAACTCGTAATCTAGTAGCTAAAATCTGGGTGCTTTGATCATTAAGAATACCACTTCAACTCCTTTGTAGATTTATATTTAGTATGATTAATTTAATTTGCTAATATTTAGCAATTCTATTGCCTCATCCGCCACCAATGGACCTTTACAAAACCGTATTGAATTTTTCACACAAAATTTACTTGGATTTTAGTTGGTAGCCGTTGCAGAAAAACTTGGCCTACGTACAACTTCTCGTCAATTAACATTTAGTATTTTAGTTTCTACTCCTGGTGGTCCTGATGCTACAGCTTCAGCTTTACTCAAATCTTGTCACACTTCCGCTAATTCACCGGGTGTTCAACTTGTAGCAGGCAGTATAGCCGGTAGAGAAAGGGAAATGATTCATATTTTATTACACTGCGTTATGTCTGAAATGCCTTTCAATCGTTTTTATCCACGTGTATTAGGTGGTATTCTAAATTGTCATCGACGATTTTTGGTAAGTAAGGGGATAAGTTTTGTCGTTTTTATCATTTCATTATGATTGATTAAATTGTTCCTAATTGATAAGTTCCTTTACTACCTAATTTGTTATGTCATGTATATACACATATATAGTAGGAAATGTTGGAGGACACGCCTAGATATTATCTGCGTTGTGCTTTTCGATCAGCATGGCCATCAGACAAATCAAGAGTGACAAAGCAGCAGGACCAGACAACATCCCAGCAGAGGCACTAAAAGCAGACGTAGCGGCAACTGCAAGGATACTCCACATTCTCTTCAATAAGATTTGGGATGAGGAACAAGTACCAAAAGACTGGAAAGAAGGACTTCTGGTCAAAATACCGAAGAAAGGCGATCTCAGCAAGTGTGATAACTACAGGGGCATCACTCTTCTCTCAATACCGGGAAAAGTCTTCAACAGAGTATTGTTAAACAGGATGAAGGACTGCGTAGACGCCCAACTTCGAGACCAACAGGCAGGATTCCGTAAGGATAGATCGTGTACAGACCAAATCGCAACTCTACGGATCATTGTGGAACAATCAATTGAATGGAATTCATCACTCTACATAAACTTCATTGACTACGAAAAGGCATTTGATAGCGTGGACAGAACAACACTATGGAAAGTTCTTCGACACTACGGCGTGCCTCAGAAGATAGTCAATATCACACAGAGTTCATATGATGGATTACACAGAAAAATTGTGCATGGACGACAGTTGACAAAGTCGTTCGAAGTGAATACCGGTGTTAGGCAAGGTTGCTTACTCTCACCCTTTCTCTTCCTCCTGGTGATCGACTGGATCATGAAGACGTCAACATCTGAAGGAAAGCACGGGGTACAATGGACATCTAAGATGCAGTTGGACGATCTAGACTTCGCAGATGATCTGGCCCTTCTATCCCAAACGCAACAACAAATGCAGGAGAAGATGAACAGTGTGGCAGCAGCCTCAGCAGCAGTAGGTCTCAATATACACAAAGGGAAAAGCAGAATTCTCCGATACAACGCAGCATGCACCAATCCAATCACAATTGACGGAGAACATTTGGAAGATGTAAAAACCTTTACATATCTGGGAAGCATGATTGATGAACAGGGTGGATCTGACGCAGATGTGAAGGCGCGGATCGGAAAAGCAAGAGCATCATATTTACAACTGAGGAACATCTGGAACTCAAAGCAACTGTCAACCAACACCAAGGTCAGGATTTTCAATACAAATGTCAAGACAGTTCTACTGTATGGGACAGAAACCTGGAGAACTACGAAAGCCATCATCCAGAAAATACAGGTGTTTATCAACAATTGTCTACCCAAAATACTTCAGATCCATTGGCCGGACACTATTAGCAACAACGTACTGTGGGAGAGAACAAACCAGATCTCAGCGGAGGAAGAAATCAGGAAGAAGCGCTGGAAGTGGATAGGACACACATTGAGGAAAGCACCCAACTGCGTCACAAGACAGGCCCTCACATGGAATCCTTAAGGACAAAGGAGGAGAGGAAGACCAAAGAACAAATTATGCCGAGAAATGGAGACAGACATGAGAAAAATGTACAAGAATTGGATGGAAATAGGAAAGAAGGCCCAGGACAGAGTGGGTTGGAGAATGCTGGTCTGCGGCCTATGCTCCATTGGGAGTAACAGGCGTAAGTAAGTAAGTAAGTAAGTAAGCTTTTCGATGGTGTTACACCAACAAGAATAATTATTATTATACAGTTTATTATCAATACACTTACTTAAGGTTGCCACCCTTCATGGAACATAGGGCACCGACTAGGATTCTCCAACCAACTTTCTGCTGTATCCTACTTTCCAGTTATTTCCAAGTGCTATTCATTCTTTTGATGTTTTGCCTCCAGTTTCCAGCTCAATGTTATTTGGTATACCTCTTCTTCTTACCCTTCAGGGTTCCAAGTCAAGGCTCGCCTTTTGATGCAGCTTGATAATTCTCATAGTGTACGTCCTATCTACCTACATCATCTTTTCCTAATTTTCTCTTCAGCTGGAATCGGGTTTGTTCTCTGTCACAGCAGGTTGTTGCTGATGATGTCCAGCTAACGGTTCTGAATTATCTTGTGTAGACAGTTATTTATAAATACTTGTACATTCTTGATTATGGTTGTGGTTGTTCCCCAAGTTTCAGCTCCATACAGTAGAACCAGTTTGACGTTTATGTTGAAGATCTTGGCTGTACACAGATCCATATACTTTACTTTGAATTATAGTGATTTTATAAGGTCTAGTGGTGTAGTGAACGAGAACACAAGTTGGGAAAATCGAATGTATTTGAATACAAAATGACATAATGTATTCATAAAATCTAAGAATCATACAATCAATCGTCTCAAAATCTATTGTTTTTTTCGTTTCTATACCAATTATCCCTGCTTCGGTTTGGGCATCCGGGCAGTATCACAGCCCTCACACGAATCAAATGAGATTTGTGTGACGCATATGTATTTGGTGCCTCCTTGTACCAATATCTATGTGTTAAAATAAATAAATACCAATTATCATTTGTTCTAGTTCTCTTTTCTTTGATCTTCTTAACCTTCTACCGCCAGACAATTCACTTTCGATTGATAATACATACTACTTATAGCTGTCGATATGAGTAGCACACACACGACAGCGGTATACTGCTACCCATCTTTTAAAGTCAGATTATATTATCTTTGTAGATAAATTAAAAAAGAAACTTTCTAGTAATTACTATTCAGGGTATTTAATAATAAAAAATCTTATTGTTTTTTTCTTTTAAAAATTTAATTTTAGATGATGATCAAATGTGGATTTTGGGATATATTAAATAATACTAATTTAACAGTTAAAGCTAAATCTAATGCTGGCCAAGCTTTAGGTTTACTTTGTCTTGTTTATAATTTTCCATTAACCGTACTAAAGGTAATGTTTATTGTTTTCGTTTTATAGTTTATTTTGTTGTTGTTGTTGTTGGTGGTGGTGGTGGTGGTGTTTTTTTATTCATTCTGTTTGTGTGTGGGCTGTGATATTGCCTAGGTGCCCAGACCAAAGCAGCACAATACATGAAACTAACTCTTTTCAGTATGTTATAGTATTATGGATCTTAGTTTTTGTTTAATTCGTTCTAGTATATGAAAACAATACGACCTATATATGAATTTCATATATTTTGAAGGTTTTGACTAGCAGATGTGCAGATTGATTAGAGTATTTCGCTTGAATGTTTTGTTTAATTACTAATAATAATTATTATTATTTTATCTAACTGTTAAGTATCAACTGTATCAAGTCATATTGAAAATTTGATCGATAGAATTCGGTCAATAGTAGTATCCAAGTACTTGTTAGGGATCTGTACGATATTCGTTACTGGCAGGATTATGGATATATATTGCTAATAAGTTCTTTATTACGTAAGACCAGATATATGTATGCATCAGTCCAAGTTGTCACACCTCATTAGCACAACAAGACGAACACCGGATTCATATAAGTTATATATAAAAGACCGACTGCATATAAGGACACAATACAGGAAGAAAGAATTAATTCATAGAAAGAAAGATATGAAGCGATTTTAATCTCAGAGTTTAAGGGAAGACAGAAAGTGTATACACCGACGCCATTGTGATCGATTCTGAGCCATGTCACCAAGAATCTCCAACCATCGGTTACGAAAGTCACGCGGACCCCAACCAAGTAGTCTGCATCTACCAACATGGCTCATACCAGAGTTAGTAACACTGTGGACTGATGCCACGTTTTGGTTTGGCCGCCCCTAACTTTCTTCCAACCAGCCCCAACACTAGTCAGCATTGAGTGTCTTTGTAATCGGTGTTTAGGCGTACATAGCACGCAACCCAGACATCTCAGTCGATGAAGATTCACAACCTCATCGACTGATTTACCATCATTCCCTATTACCTTGCATCTAACCTCACTATTACCTACCCGATAATCTCAGCGGATGCGATTAATATTTCCAAGGTATCTGCGATCATATATTAGTAGCCTACGAGTGTCTTCGCAGCCGTAAATTAGAACGAACTGCTGCGCAGTGTACTCGTCTCTTAATTGACAGATGGATATCTCTCCTTCGTCATAGGTGACGTATGTTGGCAAAAGCCAAACAAGCTTTTCGAATCTGTTCAGAGATTTCGTCAGACTCTCAACATAAAAGTATGAGTTTGTAACCATAAAGTTGATTTGCACTAAGTCTATCCTATTTTCTTCCAATCATTACTCAAATAAGTTTTTTTTCTTATTTTCCATTAGAATTACAATTTTGGAGACACCAGTGAAGGAAATATTGCTTTCTTACAATATACAATTATGGAATTATGCACTGGCGAATATCAAAATGTTTTAGCTAAATTATTGCAGTTATCAGCGTATACAAGACTTTGTCGAAACTGTCGAATATTTATGCGTAAACATTTGATTAATGAAATGGTTGCTGACGATAAATTTGACTCTAATCTTAAAGCTATTGTTACAAAACTTGTTTCAGATATGCGTGAAGCAGAATCGTTTTGAGTTTTGTGATTATTATTGCTTAAATGGCATTTTGTGTTTGTACATAATTATTATGTATATAAATAAATATCCTAATAATTTGACAGTTTATTCATGAGAATTTTAATAGAGAGCTTTCTGTTTGCAATCTATATTCTTAGGACATATTGCTTATATAATTTCAGATTGATATTGGTAATCCTAAAGTTAGTTGTTTTAAGAAGCGCCATCATCAAGATTATTTGTCTTGGTTTGAAATGTTTGTAAAGAACAATTAGCAGTTAGTCCCACGAAATTTTTATGTAACACCGGCGTATGCAGGTGATTTCCACGGAATTGTAACAATTGTCGGTTTTATCTCGAAATTCTATCTACTGTTTACCATTCGAGTGAGTAAAGGAGTTCTATAGTTGCTTGAAACTTGAAAACTAGTGGTAAATGTACAGCTGCCTTGTAGCTGTAACGGACTCCTCACCAATGCGCAAACATGGTTCAACTGTAAGTCAGTCAGCTACAACGTAGGACCATGCACATATATGCATTGGTCCAAGTTACCATACCTCATTAACACAAGATGAACACCGGATTCACATAACTAGTTACTTCGATGTTATATATAAAAGAATGATTACATATAAGGATATAGTACAGGAAGAAAGAATTAGTACGTACAAAGAAAGATATGAAGCGATTTTAATCTCAGAGTTTAAGGGAAGACAGAAAGTGTATACACCGACGCCATTGTGATCGATTCTGAGCCATGTCACCAAGAATCTCCAACCATCGGTTACGAAAGTCACGCGGACCCCAACCAAGTAGTCTGCATCTACCAACATGGCTCAGACTAGAAGTTAGTGAATTGAAGCACTGATGCCACGTTTTCGTTTGGCCGCTTCTAACTTTCTTCCAACCATCTCCAACACCGGTTAGCATTGCGCGTCGTGGTAATCGGTGTTTGGGCATACGTAACATGTGGCCCAACCATCTCAGTCGATGAAGATTCCTAACCTCATCAACTGATTTACCATCATTCCCTAATACCCTGCGTCTAACCTCACTATTACTTACCCGGTGATCCCAGCAGACGCCAGCAATATTTCTGAGGCATCTGTGGTCAAATACTAGTAGCTTACGCGTGTCTTCTACTCTTAAAGGCCATGTTTCGCTGCCGTAAAGTAAAACAAAACGGACTGCTGCGCAGGAGATCAATACCCGAGAATTCAGTCGACGAGAATGTTATTTCCATCAGTAGGTCTATGTTGAAGTTACACAAAAATTGAGAAAGTGGACAGCCTTGACGGACACCACTGGAGGTTGCAAAAGTAGATGACAGTTCGCCATAAGCCCTGGCTCGACTAGTAGTGTTCGAGTAAAGAGCCTTTACAAGGTTTATGTACTTCTGAGGTACGCCTTTCAATGACAGACACTGCCACAGAGTCTCGCGTTCTACATAGTCAAATGCTGCTTTTAAGTCAAGAAAGACCACCATCGTCGGACGCCGATAGGTATGCCTGTGTTCTAGAACCTGACGAATGGTGAATATGTGGTCGATGCAGCCATGACCAGGTCTAAAGCCAGCTTGGTTCTCTCGAGTTTGTAGTTCACGAGTCTTAATTAGACGTCTGATAATTATCGAGGCCAGTATTTTAGATACTATGTTTGTTAAACTAATCCCCCTGTGGTTGTCACAGGATGATTTTGACCCTTTCTTATATATTGGGACGATAAGTGATTGCGACCAGTCAGATGGGATAAAGTCTAATTCCCAGATCTTAGCTAAAATATTAGTCAACCTAATCGCTAAAATTGGACCACCATCCTTAAAGACCTCTGGAGCCAATCCATTTGGACCAGCTGCCCTTCCTCGTTTCAGATTAACTATAGCCTTTTGGACTTCTGCTAGATTTGGGGGACCTACTTCAATGTTCCATTCACACTGTCTGGGAATGGAAGGTAGTTGTTCTAAACGTCTGGACTGGGAGCAGATGAGGGTGTTGTCGTTTTCCGAAATAGTCTGACTTACACTTGACTTATTAATTCCAGTTTCTTTTATTGGTCTGTAGAGCTGTCTTGCGTTCTTTACAGCTGCCGCCAGACAGACAGACAGAGGTATAATACCTTAGATTAAATTCATATTATCTCTTGTTAGAGTGAAATGAAGTGAGAGGCTCTATATAAGGGAATGTAATAGTAAAGAACAATGAGTTGTGTTCACCAAGTTGAAGTAAGCTCACATGAAGTAAAGCCAGTCAAGATTGGTACAAAGAAAGCAGTTCATTAGAAGGAAGTGTGCATATGGAGGGTGAAGTGCTAAGATTTCTAATAACTATATCTTTTGTTTTCTAATTTTTTCTTTCTTTTCTTTTTTAGTTCTTCCGATGCCAGCCACACAATACTAGTGTAAAAGTCCGCGTTAGCATGTTATAGGTTGTCTTAGTAGAATAGCTAGTCCAGCACAAAGTTGGAAAAATGATTCTAAATGATGAGCGTAGAAGAATAACCTCAATATCACAGTTTGATTGACTTATTCTCAATCATAAAGAGCCTGATACATACAAGATGTTCTGCCCCACAAGCACGGGTGGATTGAAGTTATTGCCCTCACCATCAATGCTTGCTAGTCAGTAAATTCACCCTCTCTCCTTTTGTGATGTTAGGCTCATTTAAGCTTATTTTTGGATATATGTCATACCTCACACAATCCTCTGTGTTTCACAATATGTTGGAAAGCACTATTTTTATAAGTACCATTTTACAAGCTTATCAGGCAGTTACAAGCTATGGACTGTGGGTAAGGCATCGATGCAGTGCTTTTGTTGACTATAGTATAAAGTAAAGTATGCCAATCCGAGTATAAGCATTAAGAAGGGTATAATGTAGGATAGTTGTTTATTAAAGCAGGCGAAGAAGTATAGAAATATATGTGTTGTAGATAAGTTAACGAGTGGACAAATAATAATAATTTCTAGTCAACATAGTGTACAGAAGAGTAAAAAGTTAATACAGGATAAATAGGAAGAAACATTAACTTGGTGCTGTTGTTATTTTTTGTTATCCTAATCAATTGATGGGTAACAGGCTCCATAGATGCAAGACCACTGGTAGTAGGCAATCTATTGTGCGGTCCTCTTGACCTTTTAAGGTGTTAATGAGTGTCTTTTAGCGACTGAGTTTAGTTGAGCAGTATCAGTAGGTCCAGTGAGTTACCTGTCTACTTCAAGTGAAGAAATGGTGGAAACAGTAACTAATACAACTGCAAAGTAGGAAAAATAAGACAAACTGAAATTGAAGTCCATTTTGGTCTAGACATGGCGAGAGCCTATTGTTATAACCCAGTGAAGATTAAATTACAGGTAACTACCGAGGACTACTAATGGACTAATATTCTATAAATATTCTTATTGTAAAACTATTGAATAATTAGATTATGTATATTTATATTCCTCTTATTATAAGCTTTATTTTGACCTATATTTTATTGTTGTACGATTTACGATTCTTAAGCTATGCTCAGTCTATTATTCACTGCCCCCCTCGTTCACAGCCACTTTTTGGCTTATTTGTGTACACATGTTATTTTCTTTTTTTCATGGTACGTTGTGGTCTGTCTGATTGATATATAAACCGAGTATGTCTGAAATAAACGATCTGCTCTGATCTGATCTGATTCGATCTGATTCGATTCATATTACGGAAGCTGGTATTGTGTTCTGGACTCAAGTGGAAGGGCTCGAAGGACATAGGACTAATCAGGACGCTAAACTGCTCATACCGGTTGAACGTCATCGGTTTGGCATAGTGTGAAGATTGTATAAGCCGGATCCTGATTAGTTGATAAGTCGCGTGATAGAAAGTCAGACACCCAAGGTCATAACACCTATGATGTCTGAGTGGGGTGCAGATGGTTTTGTACGTGCTAGATCAGCGCAAGTGAGGGCTTGATCAAACAGTATTACAAACGTATGTAATTCATCTTCAATTCGGAAGGAAGACTGTTCCATATTATTGCATACTTGATGAGGAAAACATTGTCCCGAGTTTTTGATCTGTATTTCTCAACATTGACGGTAGATATTTTGTTTCGAAGTTTGAAGTAGAGAATCAAATTAGACCTAAGCCTTCTCTTCCAAATGGGTGCTATTCCTAAGATTTGGCATCGGGTACTGTAGTCAGTGACCGAGTCAGTCTTAAGTACTTTGCGGGTGAAGTCTCGTTGTAATCCTTCCACCTTTAGTATATCAGATAGGCGTAGGTTGGAAAATAAGAACAAGCAGTATTCAACGATAGGTCTTACACAAACTTTATAAAGAAGGATTTTAGATTCATTTTGAAAGAAATTCAAGACAGAACTCCAACGTAGCTCAGAATGACCTGAAAAAAATGTTATAAACGTGTCGTAATCATCAATCAAAGGCTGTGGTCAATAAGGTAGAGAAATGAACGATAGAGTTTATTTGAATAACAACGTTGGCGTTTCTATTAAAACAGCCAAACCATTATGCCCGTTTTTAAAAATGATATAGAGAACCAATAGATACTGAATATAGAGGTGATTACATATAAAATGTCATATACCAAGAAAAAGTGTGGTCTTTGTCATTATACAAGTCATTGAATATACATGTCACTACATGTTTACAAGGAAGGAAAAATACGAAAACACAGTAATTTAGGTTTTCCGTAATGAAAGAACTAAAATATAGATCATAACTTCAGGAAACACAGTTACGAAGGTTCAAATTTTCCCAACACCTGTTCTGTTACAAAACATTCACTGAATGACGTCAGTATTATGAACCTTTTTAAGATCCTTACAGGAAGTTTCGTGTACGACGATCCCTTTACATTCACACAGTTGTAATTTGTTCTTCTTGACTCATTTAGATGTACATTTTGTTGGTTATATGATTCCAGTTGAGATAGTACTACTTTTATTTTATTTTAGTTTTTGTTGTTTCACCGAATTTCCATGTATTTCTTGAAATACATCTTCTTTACTTTCGTCAATATTTATTTGTAGT